ATTTAAGAATACTGAAGAACACTAAATTTTTTAAACACGCCCACAAAATTTAAAACACAACTATAGAAGTTATTTGTTCTGACCATCACAAACTCTTTAAGTAAACATAAAAAAAAAGAAATTATAAATTTGATTTTTTTAAGCTTAGAAAAAGAAATTACACATTTGTTTAAGCCCAAATAGAATTAATTTGAATTATTCAAGTTTCAAGCATTACAAACCCAACACTCATATAGAATGTTTACAATCAATGTAAATAGGTGTCGATAGAAAATCAATCGAGAAATTGTTTAATCTGAACAACACGAAGTCAAAAAGTAACCTGCAAAAAATACAAACGAAGGAAAGTCAATTTTTTCTCCAAGAAATCTAATAACATAGTTTTTTTTCTTTTATTTTTTAATGAAGAAAATAAAAAATGTAATTAATAATGGTACACACAAAATACCAAAACACAAACCCATACTCTTGGAACACTCACAAAGATTTGATATATACAAAAAAAAATAATTAACTATTAATATAAATAATAAAAAACCCCAAAACTTTTTTTTAACAAAAAATTAAGACTATTATTTTTTTAAATAAAACAAAATTTATGAATATTGAATTGTGGTTCTTTTTTACTGTAACTTTTCTAAAAAACCCTTTGTTTATTCATATGTTTGTTTTGAAGTGTATTTTTTTGACAAGAAAGAATTCAGTGGTCCCAAAATTTCATATGATTTTTTTATATTTATTACGTAATGCGTTTGTGATTGTCAGAACAAATAACTTCTACAGTCGTGTTTTATTAATACTTATCTTCTACTTCTCTTTTGACTGTAAGTATTTTTAATTCTATTTTTTATTTATTTTTATATTTAATCGAATGTTTGAAAAATTTATATTCAGTATGTTTTTAAATCATATCTCAAGTTGCACACGCTTTGGCTCATCATTACTAGGTAATCTCTTTCGCTTGCAATTTTATTTAATTCTCCACAAAATGAGATTAGTACTTAAAATAATATGCATTATAAAAATATAAAAACAAACATATGAAAACACTTACATAAAAATATAAAGCTTATTATATTGTGAGTATACGAGTCGCATTGTGAATATACTATAACTGCCTCTTACATAATTTTATATAATGTAGGCACATTTTAAAGATAGTCGGATTTCATCTACGTAAGTGTTAGTTTGCTTACAATCTTAGGAAAAATGAATCACGATTACCCTGACACATCAAATTTGAGACATGTACAACAACAAAATCGTGAACGACGTCATTTATACCTACAACAGAGGAGGCAACGCTCAGCTTCGGAACGAAATGCTCAAACTGAACAACCACAAAGAGAATTCGAACAATTACGCCTTCAAAACTTAAGCACTGAACAACGCTCAGCAAGATTGGAGCAACGTCGTCTTGCTCAGCGCAGGCGAAGATTGTTTATTCGTGAAGAAAGTGCGACCTCTAATGTGCAACAAAGGGAAATTCAAAGGGAAAGTTGACGTAATTATGCTAGACAAAGGAGGAAAACTTAAGCACTGAACAACGCTCAGCAAGATTGGAGCAACGTCGTCTTGCTCAGCGCAGGCGAAGATTGTTTATTCGTGAAGAAAGTGCGACCTCTAATGTGCAACAAAGGGAAATTCAAAGGGAAAGTTGGCGTAATTACGCTAGACAAAGGAAGGCTGCTTTGACTATTGAACAACGCGAACAACAACTTGCAAGGCGACGAACAAATTATCGACAAAGAAGGCAAATATCTGAAAATATGGAACAAACTTCTCATCCAAATCAAGTACATAATATGCCGAATGCACAAACAAGTAGTAAGTATTCAAGTGTTATAAACATTTTTTTTTTTGGTAAGCTTTTACACTTTTGACATTAATATTCATTTAATTTATTATTTATAATTTTAACTGCTAGGATGCATGTTAAACTTTTTCGATGCAATCCCAAGAAGAAATAGAACAGGATGGCGTAGGCCGCGAGCAACAGTTTTGCCAACCATTTACGAAGAAGGCAATTTGGTTGCGACTAATGTTTTTAGATGGGAAAGTAGAATGACTGCACTCGCACGTATCGACTTACCGCGATATGCACCTACTCATTCGACGTATGAGCATGGAAGCACAAGTGGCAACAGACAAGATCTTCGTGAAGTTCAGATGGAAGGTACAAATAATTTATTTAGTTTAAGTACTTTTACAAAATAAACAACCTTTGCAATAAATGTAAAAAATATGATCACGTAAATATGATATGCAGTACAATTACATTTAATATTCAACATGAAACTCAAACACTTTCAAATAAATACTACTGTGTTAATAATAAACCCATACATTATACATGTATTGTTATAGGAAATATCCCTCACGTCGACCACAATCAGGATGCTTTCAGTGATGAAGATATTCCAGATAATCGATCATTTATCCATAGGAGCTATCATAATTGTGCAAGAAATTTTCATGAAACTGAAAGGTTCCAAAGAATGCAGTCCCCTGCTCCAACTACATGTAGACATTGCAACGCAAGATTGTTCCACCGTGAAACATCTACCATGTGTTGTAATAATGGAACAATTATTTTGCCACCAGTAACAGCTCCAAATGAGATAATTGATATTTTCTCTGACCAAACAGTGGAAGGTCATCATTTTAGACAAAATATTCGAGCTTACAATCATGTTTTCTCATTCACTTCAATAGGTGTTCATGTTGATGAAAACTTAGTAACAAGAACTCGAGGTGTGTACACGTTTCGTGCACAAGGAGCCATATATCATAAGATTGGGAGTCTCTTACCAAATTCTAGCGACAGACCGAGATATTTGCAACTGTATGTTTATGACACTGACCACGAGAATGAGAATCGAATGTCTGAAAATGAAGAATTGCACTTGGATTTGCTTGACAAGATAAAGAATATTTTAAATACTCATAATCCATTTGTACACACGTTCCGCCAATTGGCTCAGCGTCCAGACATACATGAATGCAGACTTCAAATCAAAGAGCAACCACGTAATAGGCCCCAATACAACCTTCCTACTGCTCCTGAAGTTGCTGCAGTTTTAGTAGGTGGCGAAGAAGCTGGAAATTTAAAACCAAGAGATATCATTGTCCAATCAACCAGTGGTCACCTCCTAAATATTTATGATATTGTCGGATACTATGATCCATTACAGTATCCTCTGTTGTTACCCTACGGTTCATATGGATGGGATGTAAATACCAGAAGCAATGATGGCAGAAAAGTAACATGTTGTGATTTCTATTCTTATATGCTACAGGTAACGACGTATACATAATATTAAAAAATTACTTCGTCGAAGTTATTCAATCTATAATTATTTCGTATAAAATCTTTACTTTTAATTATTTATAAGTATTGAAATACTATCAATTCAGATTCGCCCTAGTGTCAGTAATTGAAGAAAATGGCTTTGGGAACCGTCTTTTGCACCGACCATTTGTCATACACGGGGACCGTTCGTTGTTTACATTCCACATGGCCATGTATCATGTGTTTCAGACTGCGCTGTATAAATCTAGGCTCTAATCTCCTTGTCTGGAATTTCAGCTCTGACAATGTTATTCATAATCATCAGGAGTGCGTAACTTATCATTTTCATCCAAAATAATGACCATGTGGCATGCGGTAAGCCTCTTTTTCTGGTACTCAATAACATATGCATATGCCAGAACCTTCCGAGCACATGTTTTTGTAAAGAATGTCGGTCTTCATCTCATCAAATTTTGAAGAAATATTCTTGTTAGCAAATCAGGACGATCATGTGGTGACTGTCCAGGTAGAACTCAGCTTTAATTCAGGCCAATTTGGATTGCAGGTCATCGTAAGGAAAAGTCAGGTTTTCCATACTTTTGGACCAGAGCCATTGCATCTTGATATCGCTGATACATGTCTCGTGGGCTACCAACAAATGACGATGGCAATATTTGTTCTACGACCAACATTACCTAAACAAATATTTCACAAAAGGAAAAAAGAAATTGTATGTATGAATATAAACAAACATGCGTACATGTAATTGTAATATTGTACGTGACAATTTGTACCTCCAGAATTTCACCAACATGTATTGCATCTAGAAGACCTTGATAAAAATCTGCTCGAATTGATTCTGATGAGTACGTATCTATCTTAATTGTTGGACTCAATTTTCACGTAATTATCTACAACATACTGCTGTACAGAGATGACCTCCTCGAAGAAAAAGAGATTGATCACCAGGGCGA